ATTCGCATGCATGCAAGGGTTGAATATATTGTGAAAAATGTCATTTCTCCCGATTCATATACTAGGTTTTTTTTTTTTATAATTAAAACGAGTGTATTTAATTGAAACTTCAGGGGTGTTATTTCCGGCAGACGTTTTATCTGGGGGACGTTTTGAAGCGGTTCACAAGGTACAAGAAAATACTCGAACCATGCACGTACTTTTTCTGACCAAAGGTGGTGACCGAAAAGGACGTGTATACACTCCATGACTAATTAGCATAAATTAAAATATGATTTGTCAGTGAATTTCTGTAAAAGCATAATGAGTTGGTCATGTGATAAAAAGGTTATTATTTAAATTCACTTATTCATAGTTACCCAAATAATCACTGGTTGTATTATGCACTCACCATTGGTTCATGGATAATACTGGCCCATGATATCACTAATATCAACCTACCCTACCGGTACCAACAAGTGATATCCCATGATGTCTCATAATAGCTGCCGATAAATGTGTTTTGATAATCATTTTAAAAACAGTTGAAGTAACTGGGGTGGTTATTTTGAATATAGTAAAAATTGTATTGCGTTATTTTCAACTTTCTTGTACATGTAGAATGTTAAATACTTATAATACCCATCGAAGAGTCAGTATTCTACAATTCAGATCATGCAACAAATTTTATCTGTAATATTTTGCGATGGTACATAGTCACCATCTTTTCCATGGTGTACAGGGTGATGTGATAATTTTGAAGAATTTTAGTTTCAGTGTGATGTACTTGAGTATGCTTATCTGTGTACTATAGCATTTGAAATGCATTGTTTTCATTTTCCTGTTGTTGATAATCACTTAGTTTTGTCTATATAGTGTTTTTTTAAGACTACATTTAATTTTATTGGGATTTGTTGTTACTCATAATAATTCAGTTCAAACTAACAATATTTATGAATAAATTACTTGATATAATTACTTGAATCTTGTCATGGTTGTAAACTCTCATTATTCGTATGAAGATATGCAATGGTACCCTATAATTTGCTCTCAAACAGATCTGAGTTCGCCTCTACTGCAAAAGGCAGCCAATCACAAAACCCTGGCAAACTTGCGTGTTACAAACAACTGAATAAATTAGTTGACACGGAATATATGATTTTTTTTTGAGAATCACATATTTCTGAAAATTGTATATAGAGGGCGCTTTCTCATAGTTTTGATTCAGCTCTTGGTTTCATTGTCCACATTATTTTATTCTAAATATCACAATAACAAAATATCAAAGAATATTAAATTAAATCAATATTTGAGTGCAATATTGATTTTAACCTGCCATGCTTGTACTTGATTGGCTAATACAAATTTGAGTATTTCAACACTAGAGGGTGCAATAATCATGTTCTCGTACAAATGTTCACGATTAATTCCTTTCGTCGTCAATGGCTGACAACTCAAAGTCCGAAATCTGTGTATCTTGGTTATATACAACAACTAACTGACTTGATATATCACCAACAATTACCGTCATTTTACCCTGTGGCTAGTTGTTTTCACTGGCGGACCCAGAAATTCGGTGAGGGGCTGGGTTTGTCAATTGATCTGTCATTTTTTTGGCGGGCTGAAGGGGCGAATTGATGTCACGGAGCCCAGAGTTCTCTAAGATTTATGATTTCATGGGAGGTGATTTGAAATGAGATATTGGCAGTATTACAACAAATTACGGTAGAGAAAGGCAGTCCACTAAATATAACATTACACAAAGTATTGCTACAGGTAAACAACGTATTTTATTTAACTTGAAACTATCTTTTTTATTAAAACAACACTGTTACAGAGAAACATGTCGCTTAGCATGGTTGTAATTACATGACGTTATGGTGAGATTCAAAGATAAGTCTTTCCTTTGTAATTACAAATTCCTGATCTAGGCGAATTTAGAAACGGTTTCAAAACTCTTCTACGATGACCCTGAAATATTGAACACGCTTTTGAACAGAAAAACTTCATCCCGCAGTCGTCATCTCCATCTTCATTGAAACTGTCCTCATCACTTTCGTCGCTGTCATAGGGACTGTCATCCATGAAAAACATCGTTGATTTCTTATAACAATGCTCACACGGCATGACCAGCATCTCATTTCTCATCACGGGTCGAATGGTCTTGGCATGAGCCTTCTCTTCTTGTAGAGGGCGTTTTAGACGTCGTTCACCTAATACGGGAGGAGAAGGTAGAAAACATATTACACATTGTGAACATCTTAGCGAGTTGTTGGATTTATATCGCATCGTTGGTTTAACTCACCTATATAATCTACAAATATTGATGTATTGTAGTCGCCACCATATTCATACATCATTCGTACGCCATTTTGAAGATACTGACGTAATGCAGTATCCATTGGACCTATGTCGTCATCGACCATAAGACCATAAGTTGATGTCAGTGTCATTACGGGATCAGGGTCATCATCGGTGTCCTGGAAACAAAAGTAGAAGCACATGAAATTTAAAGCCATATTTCGATAGCCAAGTGGCGCAACGTCACAGCCTCGGCGCTATTCCAAGTAGTGGTTGATGCGAGTCGTCGCTGTCAATACCCCTCCCCGATATATGATAGTTACACATTCGTTTAATACATAACACTAGATATAAACACATATCGAATCTAATTTATACCAGGCCGTAACGACCAATTTGTTTGGGGACTTGACGTTTTTTTTACCAGGGCCGTAAGCGACCAGGGTCGGAACGTTTGGAAATCTCTCATATATAGTTATTTGAAGCACAGTCCCTCAGGTGTTGAGGAACTGTGTTTGAAGACTGATATATGAAACGTATGTTGTTGTTTATCAGTGACTTGATTCATATAATAGACATACCTTTAAGTTCGTAAATACATTGGCAGCATATATATCCAAAGAACGTGCATGACCAAAACAACATTGCATCCAGGTGAATTGAAGTAATAAATCAATGTCTTCAAACGATCCATTTAATGGAACGGCCAGGTACAGTTCAAACTTCTCTGTAAAAAACAACAACAACAATTAGTGTTGTTCCGTGTTTGTCAATCGTATATACGAAGTTGTAGAAACGGATTGGCGAAGTACATCGTGTTTTTACGCTATATGTAACAGAAGCTCTGAGATAGATTTATAGAAAAGCTGCATTGGACTTTGTATATTGAGTATATTAACGAGACAACATCTACTGTATTCATCCGCGATTAGTTAGTAGTAGTTAGTTAGACTTAACTATGAACGACCGCATAATAGGTAGTATGGGAAAATTTATGCTACAACCTTATACTACTGGTAGTATGCGACATACTTACCAGCCCAGTTAACACTTCGAGCATGCAATAAATAAACATCAGATGGACCATCATTGGTAAACCAACAGCTATCAAGATGAGATAACTTATCACTGTTAGGTACGCTCTGACCACACCCACCACATTTCATCAATAGCGGAACCTTCCATGGATTACCCGCTGGTTTGACTGCCATAGTAGTAACGGGAACTATGGGGACATAACATACACATTTAATTAAAATATGAAAAATGTAGTATACTAGTATATGTTTAAATCGGTAAATGCGTAATTAACACTGCTTTAATAATGACACTCCACAAGAACGACGGTAGTTTTATGATGCATGCGCACAACTTCCTGTTAATAGCGGTGACATCACTCACACTGAACGAATGGTGTCACAATAGGATACCGATGTGCCTTGCAATGCATGCAGGTAAAACTTATGATCTAAATTTTACCATCAATGCAGAGTATATCCACAGACTACTGACCTTCAATTTGATCACAGTTCTTTGTACGTTTCCCCCTGACCTTCAGTAGTCGCTTCACCAAATCGGGTTTGGAACCATTAACCGAAAGACCTTCCTTCTTAAGTTTGATTTTTAACTCTGAAACATTGAGATCTGATAACTTCAATCTATCAACCAACTCGTTCTTATTGCCACCGATTGGAAGGTGACGCTTACGTAACATTTCCTTTAGTCGTGGCAGGTTTTTATATTTGTACTTGTCGGATGCTTTCATATCTGTAAACAAAGGGCACAATGAATGACACAAGAAGGGTAAAGAGAAAGTACGGTATACCATGAGTATACGAAGATTTTGCAGTACAGAAAAGATAACAGAACCGAAATATCACCACAGACATT